ATCGGTGGCGAGTGATTTCTGATTTGGCATCGGGGGTAAGCACCTTCACCGCAAACCCGGATTGACCAGCGTGGTCAACGGGGGGGGGGGGGGGGGCACAATGCTACGTCGTGCTCGAATATCGTAAATGTCGTGGGTGTACTCTCCAACACACCACCGGTGTGCTGAACTAGTCACTAACTGGCACGTTTTGTTTACTTCGCAAACTCTTACCGATTGGCTGTGACGGGCGGCGGCGGGTTTAACAACACATTCATATTTACGCGATACAACCCCAAAAAAATATTCATTATGAATAATATTGGCCGCGAAACCTACGTGTGAAGCTGCTGCCGCTACGGCACTTTTAAATCTCGATTGAAAACTAATTTCTTTAGAGCTGCTTTTTGTGTTTAGTTTGTTGTCCTTCCCCCCGCACCTCCGATTAGCGCGGTTGGCTCCGTACGGTCCGAAAGATGTTCAACACACACACACATGTTTCTTTGCACACCTTTCAGAACCTTGTTTAAAAAAAAATCGCCAGGTTTGCGGGCCGTACCTCGTGTGGCGTTCGGCACGGACGCGCGACGTTTCGCTTGCCGTGCTGACAGCTTCTTCAAGAAGTGATTAGCCCAACCCGCGACAGCATTTGTTACACCCAAAGGACACGAACCACAACGATTACGCAACTGAACAGAGAAGGCTGCAAGGTTTGGCTCAAGATAGGGTCGAGCAAAACAAAAGGACAGACGTATTAAGCAGCAAATATTAAAGCCTACTGTTCACGCAACTACGAAACAAACAAGTTCGGAAAAAATCATGCAAGGAATCATATTCTTGGGTTTTTTCGGTAAAGTCACGTAGGTAAAAAATTAAAATTAATAAAAGTAAAATAAAAATAAAAATCACGACGTTTCGGAGGCAACACAAGCTTCCGTCTTCAGGTGGAACATGCAAGGAATGTGCACAAATTTCCAACGGAACGCGTGACGACGGAAGTTCACTGCGTGTCCGGACTGGATATCAATAAACTGGATGGAGGAAGAGGAGGCGGGGAGGAGGAGGAGGAGGTAAAAACAAGAAGAAGAATGGAAAATTCCGCTGACACACAGCGGCGGACACAGAGGGTGGGCACTCACCTCCCGGCTCCGATTGCTAAAAGAAAAAGATGGTCCAGTGCCAGTCGAGGCCTCTGCCAGTTTGACATTTGAAGAGCGGTCCGAGCACCCTCGAGCCAGGTCCCGATCCGGTGGCGCGCAATCCGGTGCCAACTTTGGCGGAAGCGTCAAAAATAATCCGGGGGACGTACAAGTACAACTAAAAAGTTTTTAAAACGCCGGTGCCTACTTCCGCCGCGGAGAAGGAGCGAGTGAAATTCCGCTCGCGTGTGGAAGAGCTGGACGGATTGTTGGATTGCGAGACTGGGAGAGATGGCGGTGGTTGTCAAAGACCTTCATCCAGTTGTGGATAGATCATGTTTACTGCTGCTGATGGTCATGATAGGGGCATTAGCATGCATCACCCCTATTCATGACCCTCGCATACAGGATTTAGAATTCACGTTTTTGTTCCAGTCAAGGTCAAGAGGTCATCATGGCCAACGCTTCCCAGGCCACCACGCCTGCCCCTTGCTTCCTTCCATAAGATCTTGTCGCCATCCCTCTTAACATTATCACACCGAGTTACGCAACATTTCCTGAATAAAAAAATACAACCGTCGATGTCGCTTGGAATGAGCTGAAATGCCCCTCCCACCTCTTAAAGGAGACCCAGAGACAGACACTGGCAAAGGTCAGGCCGCCCTGGTTAAGCCTGTGAGTGCACAGGAATTACTCCGTGCAAGTTACCGCAGCGTTATTTGATAAAAGAGCAGGCCATGGTCAACATTCGCTAACACACCGGTGTGGTGAAGTAGTAACTAATTGGCGCGTTGTTTACATGATAAACCTCACCGCCTGCCGGGTGGTGGAGGGTTACCACGCATTTATACTTACGCGATCTAACCCAAAAGCCTTTATTATGAATAACATTGGTCGCGAAAGCCTACGTGTTAAACTTCTGCTAAGTAAAACAAAAAAAACAACAATGCTCGCATTGAAACATACACTCGTAACGTCGTGCCCACCAGGAGGTCGGTGCTGCGTCACTTTGTGCCACACAGGGGCAGCTACCATCAGGGGGTCCCCCCAGACCAGGGGTCGGCAACCAAAATAACAAAAACTCTTCAACATTTCAAAAGCCGCAACGCAACGTGACACACGCGAGACGGCGGTCCTGGATAAAACATCGTCACGAAGCGGTCCCCAAAAGATCGGCAACTCAGCTCCGGAGCCGCAGGTCGCCGACCCCCGCCCTCGACTAAAACAACGAATAGAACCTATTCTTGGTTCTTTCGGTAAAGTGAAGTGACTTTACCGAAAGAACCAAGAAAATGAATCCCTGCAGTCACGAAAGCTTTAAATCAAAACGAATAGAACCTACAGCTGTGGGCACCGGAATAATTGAGGCGGAGATGCGACTCGAGGCGCTCTGATGATGCTGGGGGATTCGTTCAAAGCAGGCACGCCACAAATTCACGATCCGTAATCCCTATTCTCCACGACAACCACTCCAACGGCGGCAACAACGACGGCGATCACGACGACGACGACGACGGTGGTGGTCGTGGCTCAAAACGGTAATGAAGATGGACAACCAACGACAAGGGGCTGAGGGTCGGCTGTCGAAGATGACGAAGCCGCTATTTTAATCAACACCGACCGGCTCAGCGCCACGACTCCCGTCCAGCGGATTGAACTGCTGACCGCCACAAAGCCCCAACCAACACTGCCCCCCAAACACAGCGCCCGCCTACCCGCCCCCCCCCCCCCCACCGGCTAAGTCCGGCGTGCGCTGAGTGAGCCACGAACGCAGGTGCCTTCTTTGGCAGGTGTCCTCGCGACCGTCGCGGATTTCCAGACTTTTTTTTAAAATCCTTTATATTAAGTTCACTTGCTTGCATGCTTGCGCGCTTACGACCGTGCAAATCTTTTGGTCGTTTTTTAACCCACTTCCCGTGATCCAGTCGAGCTGACATTTTGCACACAGACTCGTTGTGCGTGACAATTTATCTTCGTGAAATTTTTTTCCCAAAATTTTACACTTTGTAGGATTTTTTTTATATTTAATTACCAATTGCTTAATGGTGGCAGGCAATCATCTGACCCATAGGTGGCAGCTATCTCAAGCCAGAGGACGAGCGGACTCTAGCCGCCATGCATATAAAGGATTTATAGTGAAAAACTTTGTTTTTACGGGTTCATTTTTCTTTGCTCCTGGCGCTCGACGTTGTCCGCTGCCCCCGCACGGCCGCCCCACGCCCGTGTGGAGCATCGGGCGAGCGCCGGATTGCTGCTGTGTGAAAATAATGTCAAGAGTGATTTTATTGACCCCCCCCCCCCCCCTTAAGACGGTCACCCCATCGCGCGCTTTGTTCATGCTTTTTGTTTGTTGCGGTTGCACCCGATTCAAGAGCCGAATGGCTCGCAGAACTATACCTGATAATTGGTTTTTTACCCTTCTATCTGGCAACAAAACTGACACCTTTTTACAAGGAGTCATGTTTGCATAGACCGTAATACCTGCAGTCATAATACAAACAAAAGACATAACTCTGATAATGTGCACTGTCCTTGAAGTTGATTGGTCCATACCCGAGACAGCTTTCCTTAGAGCCTAGTCTCACATGGGTTGAACCAGATGACGCCAACAACCAATAATCATATTTTTAGTGGCAAATGAGGTTCCCATAGTGTAGAACTATACCTAATAAATGAAAGTGAATCCGTCACAAGACTGAAGGATGGCGATGGCTTGGGGAGTCCTCCCTACAGGAGTGGATACACAATGGCTGATGATGATCATTAATCATAGTGACATGCGTGCTATAAGACAATCATCTTTTAACGCAGTTCTTAGTCGTTCTGTTCTGCTTCTGCGGCCGTCTGGAATGCTCTTCCTTGCCGATATCATAGGAGCCACTGGAGCTATGCACTTTTAAGTTATCTACATTTACATTTTAATTCTTTAGAACTACTTGTGTTCAGTTTCATGTTCTTCCCCCGCACCTCCGATTAGCGCCGTTGGCTACGTACGGTGCGAAAGAAATTCACCCTACATACGTACAGAATTTAAGACATGGTAACCTTACAAAGGTCGCCCTGTGAATTGGAAACAAGAAGTCGAGAACTCTACACTCTACCTCGGGCCATGCTTACAGCAACATCAGTGTCAAATTGCAAGGCGAGTCAGTGGATCTGTATGTGTTTACACATACATATATAAACACATACGAAGGCGAAGATCCCCCGTATAGCCTATAGAGGCAGTAGGGGCAAGTGCCGCTAGCAATCAGCTATGAAGGCCGGAACGGCGCACGATGGGACGGTATGGTCAGCCCCCACGCCCAGCCGCCTTTGTCTCCCCAGCGCTGATGTTTCCACACCGTACAAAGTTCTCATATAAGGCTGGAGGGGGGGCCCAGGTCCAGGTGACATATTCGCCACTGATGTTGCCTATACGCGGGAATCGAACCCAGGTCAATCAGGTACAATAGCCAAGTGCTCTAACCACCGTGCCACCAATCGCCCCTAAAACCTAAAATCTCCACAACACGCACCACGCTTAACCCCCAAGGAATGTCGTCAGATCAATTTCGTCAGATCTCTGCAGCTAACCTGGTTTGCGCCTGGCTAGCGATTGTACGGGTGGCCACCAAGCACAACGTTTGGCATAGGCTGCGAGAATCGATGTCGCAGCGCAATACATGCAAACCATCCTTCGTTGTTCCGTACTCCTACGCCCTCTGTTTTCACAAACGAACGGTCAAACAACAACAACAACAACCCACGCACAGCGCTCCGTGTGGATCGATGGGGGAGGCCCTCACACGGCAGCTATATCGGGTGGGTAAGGGTTCATTGGGTATCACGCGAATCTCCGCACCACCCGCTCTGTGAGATATCGATAGCGGTGTAACCCACCGTGGAGATGCGATGTTGGTTTGCAGCTGCTGTTGAGCGGTAAGCAGTAGCGGCAGGAGCAGCTGTTAAGAAAGAAAACAATTTCATGGGGCCTTCTCTGCCAGCGCCAAAATATGATAATAGGTTTTCTGCTTTTTTCTGGCAACAAAACAGGTGTTAAGATGTTTAAACACCAAACTAAAACCTTTTACAAGGCATCGTGTCTGCATTAACCACAATACTTGTGGTCAGAATGCAAAGAAAAAACATACTCTGATAATATATGCATATACTTTCAGAGTATGTTTTTATATATGCATTACTCTGATAATATATGCAGAAATTATCAGAGTATGTTTTTTGTTTACATTACTCTGATAATATATGCATGAATTATCAGAGTATGTTTTTTGTTTGCATTACTCTGATAATATATGCAGAAATGATCAGAGTATGTTTTTTTGTTTGCATTACTCTGATAATATATGCAGAAATTATCAGAGTATGTTTTTTGTTTGCATTACTCTGATAATATAGGCGGAAATTATCATATTATGTTTTTTGCATTACTCTGATAATATATGCAGACATTATCAGAGTATGTTTTTTTGTTTGCATTACTCTGATAATATATGCAGAAATTATCAGAGTATGTTTTTGTTTGCATTACTCTGATAATATATGCAGAAATTATCAGAGTATGTTTTTGTTTGCATTACTCTGATAATATAGGCGGAAATTATAATATTATGTTTTTTTGCATTACTCTGATAATATATGCAGACATTATCAGAGTATGTTATTTGTTTACATTCCGACCACAAGTATTGTGGTTAATGCAGACATGGTTCTTTGTAAAAAGGTTTAAGTTTGGTGTTTTAACATCTTAACACCAAAAAAAAATGTGAAAACCTATTCTCAAACAAACGATTGTTTATCCTGGCCAAGAGATCGACCCCCCACCGCATGGGCTCGTGTTGCGCGCGCCACGATGTTTTCTCTCGGCACGCGTAACAAAACAACAACAACAACAAAACCCAAAACAACAACTCAAGTGCTGGGATAGGCGCAGTGGTTAGCGCGCTGCACTGTTACATTGCCGGTCATTGCAGCCGATTAACGTCCCGGCACGCTGTTCCGGGAATTGTTTTGGCACGACACATCCAACTCCTCGCCTTATATTTCTCTTTTTATTTATAAACAAAACACCTGTTCGTGGGATTACAGGAAGAGGGTTTGCAACACGACAGCATTATTATTATGATGGATAGGCGTACTCTGGGCTCTCGGTGGCAGTGCCTTACGCCAATAATTATCCCTATGACAAACCGGACTGGCCGCGGCAGAAATTATCGATTGAGAGATTAAAGCCCTCCTCACCAACCAGGCATTGACCGTTGTGGTGAAGTATGGTTTAAAAAAAAACCTCTCCCTCAAACAGGCATGGCATGTAAGGGCCTTCATCAATTGGTGGATTTTATTACTATATTACAGAACAGAACTACTAAGAACTGCGTTAAAAGATGATTGCCTTATAGCAGGCATGTCACTATGATTAATTATCATCATCAGCCATTGTGAATCCACTCCTTTAGGGAGGACTTCCCAAGCAATCGCCATCCTTCAGTCTTGCGACAGTTTCAGTTAAATTTATTAGGTATAGCCCTGTGAGCCATTCGGCTCTTGACTCGGGTGCAACCGCAACAAACAAAAAACATGACCAAGAAAACATCTTAAAGTGACTATGTGACTATGTGCAAACAGAAAACCCAAGTAAAGACAGCTAAATATTCCACAAAAAGCACCGTACACCAACGTTGTGTGCAAAAATCCCAGTGGGATGCAAGTCAAACAACAACAACAACCACAAGACAACTTAGATTAAGGCCATCAGTCTAACTCCGTACCACAACAAACACGCATGGCCAAACCAAAAAACGTTTTCGAAATCACCAAAATAAAGCCATAAAAGCAATGTAACAGTGATCATAGGAAATGTCACCGAATTTTCACAATAAACGACATCAACAACATGTACCACCAAAACCCTGCAGCCATAGCTGGCTGCATGAGTCAACAATCCATTGAGCTCCCGCACACAAAGTATATTTCATCCCTCCACCTCCATGATGGAGACTCTCGTTCTTCATTGCAAGGCCTGTGGGCTCTTGGGGGCCCCTAGTGTCCATGTGTGAATGTTAGTTTAACACGTAAGGCTTTCGCGACCAATATTATTCATAATCAACGTTTTTTTTGGGGTTAGATCGCGTTATTTATAAATGTGTCGTAACCCTCCACCACCCTACACGGCCAATCAGCAAAAAAAGTGTCACGTTGACAAAATAGTTCACTGCTTTAGCCCCACACCGGTGCAGTGTTGAAGCGTGAAACCACAACATTTACAATTTTTGAGTAGTCCGACGTTTCGCTGGTAATTGCATCTAGCATCATCGGGCAATTCGCCAGAATGTGGTCACACATACAAATGTGTCAACACCCCCATCGTGTTGTCAAACCCCAATGGATTCTAATGTGTGGCGGCCCTCACATTAATGTCTTATCAGCCAAAGTGCTCCCCACCCACCCCCTGAAAATGAGTGAAGAACACTGGCATGGACGGTGTCTTCCCTTTCGATTTAAAACTTTCGTGACTGCAGGGATTCATCTTCTTGGTTCTTTCGGTAAAGTCACGTAGAATGGAAATAATAAAATAAAAAAAATAAAACGTCGTGAGAATTATTTTATTATGTTTTATTTTCATTATTTTATTATTTCCATTCTACGTGACTTTACCGAAAGAACCAAGAAGGTGCCTTCCCTGTGTTGATTGCCACTCCATGATTAGACTCGAACACTGACCATCATTGCTTCTAGGTATGACGTCCTCGGCCAAAGCCCGCTCACTTACTTGACTTAGCAGTCAACAAAGATACTTTACTTAACTTTGGCAAATAAAAGTAGAGCAGAGATGGCGTGATGTGACCAAAGATATTTGTAATGATGAAAACATCTCAGCCACCACCACCACCACCACCGCCGCCGCCTCACTGCCATCTGCGAGTGACAGTAGTTGCTTTCTCCAGTACAACAGAATATCAGAATCAGAGTTTGTATTCACACTGGGGAAAACCCGATGAGCAATGAAGCTCTTGATCACAGATGTCCAGTAGTGTTTGGCAGATGTCCTCCTGGACAATGCCATAGATTCTCACTGGACGGATTGCAGTCAGTGAGTGAGTGCACAACAACAACAACAGAAGGGCATGTTGTGACCAGAGGAGAGAGATGTTGGACTGCTGCCCGGTATCCATTCGGAGCGGGTGGTGCAGTGGTTATCGATTATGTCGCCCAATCCCCGCCGCATTGACCAGCGAGGTGAAGTATGGACCATCAGATTGAGGTGAAGTATGGTTAAAGAACTCCCACGAGGCCGATCACAACGCGGTGGTGGTGGTGTTGGTGTTGGTGCGGCCCTCATCCAAGCAGCGGATTTGACAAAAGGCGGGGCAGTAACGGCGTGAGCCGCGGTTGTTTTATGAACAACTCACGACAACAACAACAACAACAAAGAGTGAGGGGGGGTGCGCGTTACCTTGACTCCCAGGGGCAGCAGCAGCGGCGGCGCCGTGTAAACAACCCCCCACAATGCACCGCTCCGATCGGTTTGTTTACTGGGCGCGAGGCCACGCCCCCGCCCCGCGACGAGACCACACCCACCTTGGTGACTAGCCACGCCCACCGAGACGAAGCCACGCCCACAGTTTCCGGCTCGCTCACTAGGCCACGCCCACCGAGACCAAGCCACGCCCACAGTTTCCGGCCCATTCACTAGGCCACGCCCACCGAGACGAAGCCACGCCCACAGTTTCCGGTCCGCCCACTAGACCACGCCCACCGAGACGAAGCCACGCCCACAGTTTCCGGCCCGTTCACTAGACCACGCCCACTGAGACGAAGCCACGCCCCCAGTTTTCGGTCTGCTCACTAGGCCACGCCCATTGCTATGAAGTCACGCCCCCTCCCGCTTCCGGCCCGCTCACTAGACCACGCCCAGTTTAATCAGACCACGCCTTCTAATCACAAGCCTCCCCACCCACTCGCCAATAGAACACGCACATTAGCACGCCCCTCCCTCCTTCCTCCAGGATCCGCCCCTCTAGACCACGCCCATCTTGCCCAACAGATCCCCCCAGAGAAATCCGATGAGCCTATGAAGCTGATATTTTTGGTTCTTTCGGTAAAGTCACGTAGATAGAAAAGATAATTTCACAAAAAAATAATAAAAGCAAAAAAAATATTTTCTATTTATAAAAAAAATTCTACCTACGTGACTTTACCGAAAGAACCAAGAATATGTTGTGTGATTTGTTGACCTTTCCGTAACTTTCTACTGCTATCGCGTTTTTGTATTGTTTGTTGTTATCGTTCTGACCCGCCCCCACTGGACATAGGCAAACTACCCTCTTGAGGTGCTTCTCTAGAGCTCCCTCGAGTGGAGGCCATCTCGCCGACAGTGGCGTGGACAAGACGACTGAACATCTGTGGGGGAGAAAAAAAAGAGTTTGAAAGCTCATCGGATTCCTCCTGCGCGGTTTGGGTCTCATTCTTCTTCTTGGTTCTTCCGGTAAAGTCACGTAGAAGGGAAGTAATAAAATAATAAAAATTAAACATAATAAAATAATTCTCAAGACGTTTCGGCCACAACGCAAGCAGTCGTCCTCAGGTCTGTCGGGGAGACAGCGTCTGAATTAAACACCACCAGGCTTGGAGCGTCTATTTAAGCTGGGTTGGAAGGGGAAGAGCGCCTTGACAAAATCATTTTTCGGTAAAGTCACGTAGAATGGAAATAATAAAATAATAAAAATAAAACATTATGTGGTGTTATTGTCCCCATGGAGGAGGCTCGTGAAGAACGCTGCTGTTGGAGGCAGTCGCTCTCCAGCAATAACGGAGAGCAGAGGAGCGACGCTCACAACAACGAGCGGAGCACCGGGCGGATAAAATAGAGCAAGTTGGCAAAGTGGGGGGTTACAGCTGGGTGCATCTACCGGTCATCTCAGTCAAGTTCAAGTTTATTTATTAGGTATAGCCCTGTGAGCCATTCGGCTCTTGAATCGGGTGCAACCGCAACAAACAAAAAACAAAAACATGAACAAGGAAACATCTTAAAGTGACTATGTGCAAACAGAAAATCCAAGAAAAATTTACCCGTAAAAACAAAGCTTTTCACTATAAATCCTTTATATGCGTGGCGGCTAGAGTCCTCTCGTCCTCTGGCTTGAGATGGATGCCACCTATGGGTCAGATGATTGCCTGCCACCATTAAGTAATTGGTAATTAAATATAAAAAAAAATTCCTAAAAAGTGTAAAATTTTGGAAAAAAATTTTCACGAAAATAAATTGTCACGGGAAGTGGGTTAAAAAACGACCGAAAGATTTGCACGGTCGTAAGCGCGCAAGCAAGCAAGTAGGATTTAAAAAGACAGCAAAATATTGCAGAAAAGGCACCGTACACCAACGCTGTGTACAAAAATCCCAGTGGGATGCAAGTCAAACAACAACAGCCAACCCACGGCGCCTGCTGCGTCTGTCCCCGAGGCCTCCTTCACGTGGCCTCAAAGTACACCTGGCCTGGCACAAGCCCCTTGGTGACGTCACCGCTACTTCGGAGCGAATGGATGTTGTAGTTAATTGTGTACCACTGCCAACTAGCATCAGCAACACCATATCATTTGATTTATAATCTGGCTGTATGCGTACAATGTTGGGCAACTCCATAAAGCAGGGGAGAGGTGGACAGGTGAGGTGACTAAACCGTGTTAAGGTGTTCTCTCAAAACTCACCTGTTTCGCCTGGCATACACATACATTACTATATTTTGCCACTGGTAAAGGAGGTCTCATAGTGTAAATGCTTACCCCGAGCTCTGAATACTCTGATAGTGCGCTGTTTTTGAGTTGTACGCCTTTTGGCGTCATCTGGTCCAACACCAATGGAGACTAGGCTCTAAGAAAAGCTGTCTCGGGTGTGGACCAATCAACTTCAAGGACAGTTGCATATCATTATCATTATCAGAGTTGTTTCTTTTTGTTTGCATTTTGACTGCTTGTGTTGTGGTTATTGCAAACATGATCCCTGGTATAAAGGTGTCAGTTTTGTACCAGTTGAAAGGGTAAAAACCTATTACTATACACATACATGTCAACCCCTTATCAGTGCCAACCTTATTACAGATCAATTCCGACCTTATTGGTCACCCCGTGCTCTCAACATTCATCCTACAAAGTCCCATCACAAGGGAGAAACACAAACAAATAGACAAACATGTACAACATGTATAAGAATACGGGTAAACCATATGGGTTGACAGGTATGCATACACTTCCCATGTATGACCAGTGGACTTTGGACTTTATAGTACCTTATTTATATTTCCTAACCATTGAGACCCCTGCATGAACTGCGCCTAATACATGTCAATTATTATTACTAGGTGTATTAAAAAATAAAAACTCGCGAGAAAATGCATAAACTTTGAGCATTCGAAAGTGACCCAAATTCCGGATAGGAGACCCCAAGAGATGGCGAGACATTGCTGTTTGAAGCACTTTATAAATAAAGTAGAGTGGATGTCAAGTGCCATCTGTGTTGACTTGGCAACACACTACCCCACTCACCCAACGCCACCCCCTAATAACAATACGAAAATAACTCAACACATTTGCCAATAACACGGCCTCAAAAGGGAGGGGAAAAAAATTAGGTGACGTTTCGGGCAATGGCCCTAAGAGATGCTTGTGAGGTGGTGCTGGAATAAAGATGTGTTGAAGGTGGCGCGCTGTAGTTCGTGTAAGTTGTATGTGCGTTAAACTTCTTTCGCATCGTACGTAGCCAACGGTGCTAATCGGAGGTGCGGGAGGGGAAGTTGTTGGATGAGGATAAAGGGTGAGTTAATTCTATATTTAAAGCTTTCGTGACTGCAAGGATTCATACTCTTAGTTCTTTCGGTAAAGTCACGTAGGTAAAAAAATGAAAGTAAAATTAATAAAAAATAAAACAATACAATCACGACGTTTCGGAGGCAACACAAGTCTCCGTCATCAGGTGGGACCGTCACAGCAAGAGTTGCCTCCGAAACGTCGTGATTTTGTTTTATTTTTATTAATTTTTATTTCATTTGTTACCTACGTGACTTTACCGAAAGAACTAAGAGTAAATGTGAGTTAGTTGTGATCAAGATTTGGGGGGGAGACGAGCTCGGGATTCTACGGTGTGCGGTGGTCGGGGGTTCATCACCATGGGTGGTCTTCGTCTTCACATCACGTTGCGACCGAGGATGAAGTCAGCTTGACATCTGAATATCGCAGCTCCGCGTGATCGTGACACCAGCGGCTGAAGTGGACCCCCTCCCACGGCCCCTCCCCCCCAATGTTGACGCTGCGATTTGGAATATTCTCGATCAATCTCTATCGCTCGCTCCTTGTACGCGTTAAAAGTTGCTCGATTTTTTTTGTTCCTATGTCGCTGGGATTCGATTTTTTTTCTTCCCATCTCTCTCGCCGGGCAAACTCTCGCCGGGCAAACACGCACTCACCTACCTCTCATCTCACTCTACTCCCCTCCACACACTCTCCTGCCTCTCCCCTCTCATCTCACTCTACTCCCCTCCATGCACTCTCCTACCTCTCCCCTCTCATCTCACTCTACTTCCCTGCACGCTCTCTCCTACCTCTCCCTTCTCATCTCACTCTACTCCCCTCCACGCACTTTCCTACCTCTCCCCTCTCATCTCACTCTACTCCTCTCCACGCACTCTCCTACCTCTCCCTTCTCATCTCACTCTACTCCCCTCCACACGCTCTCCTACCTCTCCACTCTCATCTCACTCTATTCCCATCCACGCACTCTCCTACCTCTCATCTCACTCTACTCCCCTCCACACTCTCCTACCTCTCATCTCACTCTACTCCCCTCCACGCACTCTCCTGCCTCTCCCCTCTCATCTCACTCTACTCCCCTCCACACGCTCTCCTACCTCTCCCCTCTCATCTCACTCTACTCCACGCACTCTCATACCTCTCCATTCTCATCTCACTCTACTCCCCTCCGCGCTCTCTCCTACCTCTCCCCTCTCATCTCACTCCACTCCCCTCCATACAATCTCCTACCTCTCCCCTCTCATCTCACTCCACTCCCCTCCACACACTCTCCTACCTCTCCCCTCTCATCTCACTCCACTCCCCTCCACCCACTCTCCTACCTTTCCCCTCTCATCTCACTCTACTCCCCTCCATGCACTCTCCTATCTCTCCCCTCTCATCTCACTCTACTCCCCTCCACGCACTCTCCTACCTCTCCCTTCTCATCTCACTCTACTCCCCTCCACGCTCTCTCCTACCTCTCCCCTCTCATCTCACTCTACTCCCCTCCACGCTCTCTCCTACCTCTCCCCTCTCATCTCACTCTACTCCCCTCCACGCACTCTCCTGCCTCTCCCCTCTCATCTCACTCTACTCCCCTCCACGCTCTCTCCTACCTCTCCCCTCTCATCTCACTCTACTCCCCTCCACACACTCTCCTGCCTCTCCCCTCTCATCTCACTATACTCCCCTCCACGCACTCTCCTACCTCTCCCCTATCATCTCACTCTACTCCCCTCCACGCACTCTCCTACCTCTCCCCTCTCATCTCACTATACTCCCCTCCACGCACTCTCCTACCTCTCCCCTATCATCTCACTTTACTCCCCTCCACGCACTCTCCTGCCTCTCCCCTATCATCTCACTCTACTCCCCTCCACGCACTCTCCTGCCTCTCCCCTATCATCTCACTCTACTCCCCTCCACGCACTCTCCTGCCTCTCCCCTATCATCTCACTCTACTCCCCTCCACGCACTCTCCTGCCTCTCCCCTATCATCTCACTCTATTCCCCTCCACGCTCTCTCCTACCTCTCCCTTCTCATCTCACTCTACTCCCCTCCACGCTCTCTCCTACCTCTCCCCTCTCATCTCACTCTATTCCCCTCCACGCACTCTCCTGCCTCTCCCTTCTCATCTCACTCTACTCCCCTCCACGCGCTCTCCTACCTCTCCCCTCTCATCTCACTCCACTCCCCTCCACACACTCTCCTACCTCTCCCCTCTCATCTCACTCCACTCCCCTCCACGCACTCTCCTACCTCTCCCCTCTCATCTCACTCTACTCCCCTCCACGCGCTCTCCTACCTCTCCCCTCTCATCTCACTCCACTCCCCTCCACACACTCTCCTACCTCTCCCCTATCATCTCACTCTACTCCCCTCCACGCACTCTCCTGCCTCTCCCCTCTCATCTCACTCTACTCCCCTCCACGCACTCTCCTACCTCTCCCTTATCTCACTTCACTCCCCTCCACGCACTCTCCTACCTCTCCCCTCTCATCTCACTCCACCACCCTTGCACTCACTCTCCCACAGTCGACAGGGGAGGGAGGAGGGGCCCACCGTAGGCGCACACGTGGCTAGAACGTGGCTTTCGGCGGAGGATCAAATTCAAATCTCCCGCGCGAACGACGCCCCTCCCCTACCCACCCCGCCCACGAGCGCGGCTTCTCCCATTGGTCGCCGCGCCCGTGACGTCACGCGTGACCCGCCCATTGAGCACTCCTCACTCAACATGGCGGCGATGAGGCTGGTGAAGGTAAGAGGCAGGGCCGTGGTTGACCTCTGCGTTGCGTCCTTAAGCCGCGGCGGTCAGCTCCGACGTAAGAGTCAGGCGCTACGTCGGCAATGCGATGCGCATCGAGGCACGAGCTTCTCGGTAAATATCGAGGTCGGAAACGGGAGAAATAAGCGGCGGGGGTGGGGGTGGTGGGGTCACTCGCCGTAGCGGTAGTTGGCGCGGTAAACCCGGCATCGCGATCAGGCAAGAGCGTAGGCTTCGATACCGACCAGGCCGCGGCTGATTGTGCTCTGCGTTCTGCTCGCTCTGTTGTCTCCTGTGATCAATTAATTATTGCCTCGCTGCTTCAAGATATTATTTCCAGCGTACCTCTTCGCTGGCTGCCTCAGGAGAGCAGCGTAAATTCCACATTGCCGTGACGTGGCCAGTACATCCATCCATATGCCACTTGCGAACGAGACGACAGCATTTTACCCGTAACATCCTCACCCCTTCCGAGTTCTCAACTGGTCACGCGAAATCTACTTTAATAACAAGACTAGCGTTGTTATTTCTTACGAAGTGGTACGAGCTTTTATCGACCTCGCGTGATGATGGTGGTAATTGCCTTGGGGTTTTAAACTATACTCCGCTAGCTGTCCAGAGATAGTGGTGACTTCCATGCTGTTACGGTGAGGACAGGTCAATCTGGATTTGACGTTTTCGTGACTGCAGGGATCCATACACTGTGGTTCTTTCGGTAAAGTCACGTAGGTAGAAAGTAAAATATATCACGACGTTTCGGGCGCAACACAAGCGTCCGTCATCAGGTGGGACAACCACAGAGTGAGGACAGGTCAGTTGTGACAGTCGCTGTCACTTTAAACTTATTTGTAGGTGTTTTTCAGAAGCGAACTGGCTATCACAAACGATAGCTCAACACTGTGGCTTTTCACGTGGAAATATTAGCAGCCAAATACTCTAAACGCGTGTTTCTTCAATTTAAACGTGGAAGGGAAATAAACCCGGAGGACCCGGAGAAAAATCCACGCCACCACAGGGAGAGAGAGACACGCAGACTCCAAATATACAGCAGGTGTCAGGGTTGGGATCGAACCCACGACCTCCTGTATACCAGGCGAGGTAGTTAACATCTCCTAGCCACCGTGATGATGATGATGAGAGAGAGAGACACGCAAACTCCAAATATACAGCAGGTGTCAGGGTTGGGATCGAACCCACGACCTCCTGTATACCAGGCGAGGTAGTTAACATCTCCTAGCCACCGTGATGATGATGATGAGAGAGACACGCAAACTCCAAATATACAGCAGGTGTCAGGGTTGGGATCGAACCCACGACCTCCTGTATACCAGGCGAGGTAGTTAACATCTCCTAGCCACCGTGATTATGATGAGAGAGAGAGACACGCAAACTCCAAATATACAGCAGCAGGCATTGTCAGGGTTCGGAATCGAACCCACGACCTCCTGTATACCAGGCGAGGTAGTTAACATCTCATAGCCACCACGGCACAAAACAGGGTGGTGTGGTAAAGTATGGTCAACAAACCATGTGACTAAAGTTTGATTTGTTTAACCATGAGAAATCGAAAGAAACCAAGTTTAGTCTCAGTTTGCCGGAGTGACATGGGGTTACCAAGGAAGCCTTCATCCAGCAGTGGATTGTTAAAGGGCTGTAAATCAAGAGGTTCATTATCTCTTTTTTGGAGAGGGAGACGGAGTTACGCAAGGTACAGTTATGCAACTGCAGCACTGTACTATATGTGCGTGCGTGGTGTCACCACTGTCCATTTATGTAACATGCCAGCAAATTTCGTGGTGTTGAATAATACGTAAATGCAACTGTTTTATTTTACTCGTGTGCCATTACAAATGGGTCACATTCTACGAGTTGTACGGGCTTCGCTGTATCCAGCAGAGGGCAGCACGGCAATGTCCATTGTCAATATTTATACTGGTAGGAACCCACTGGTTCCACCAGCCCACAGGGGATTATTGTGTCCGTCCGTCCGTCGTGCAGGGAGGGGCTGGTTGGGGAGGGAGGGGAGGGTGGGTAGGGGCTGGGTGGGGAGGGGCTGGTCACCCCGTGGTGCCTTTATAAAACTCAACGTTTAACCTACTCACGCCGGCTTGTGCCCACCCTCACAGTCGGGCATATTTGCGGAATACACCACGCCGCCGTTGACCCTGGCCATTGACCGAGCAACCCAACGTTGCTACCAGCTCTCTCTGCAGGACAATGTGTTACTGGAGGAATCCGATGAGCTATAAAGCTCTTTTTCACCAACGTCCAGTAGTATTGTCCACGCCACTGCTGGCGAGAGGGTCTCCACTTTAGGGAGCTCGAGAGAACCACCTCAAGAGGGTACTTTGCCTACTCTTCCACACTGGACCAGGCATGTCGTGAAAGGCGACAGGATCCACACTTTTAGCCCACCACCACAAGCGACTCGGCCGAGGGAAAGATGCCATCGGCTCGATCTCCCGGCGTGGCAGTTGAAACATTGGCACAAGTCTCTTACACCCCCCTTCTTCTGTTCACTAAATCAGTATAAATGGGTGCGCAACATTAAAGTCGATGGGTACGTTGCATGTGTCGGGGTAAAAGTGTGGGTATGCCCACCACTGCCAAAGACGTCTCGGCAACGTGGAAGAGAAGGCAGATAATGCCTCCTAAAGCCTCTCCGTCTCGTGGACGCCCTTCCGAGAGCAGTGACGTAAGCATGTAAGTACAGGGCTACATAGCTATACCTACCTTCACTTGCCGGTCAAGGTTCGTCCACCCGCACTATACACGTGTAGAGGAGTAAAATGGGGACGTGACGTCAGGTGTGCCGTTCAGTGCGATGACGTCACGTCTCCTAGGGTACTTAAGGGAGACCCCGTGACGTAAGCGGGGTCACTGTGGGAATGGGTAGAGTAAGAAGGGTGAAGAGGGAACCAGTGGGTAGAGAGAGGGATCGACTAGTGAGTCTGGGGAGAAGCTGGTGGTAGCCGTAGAGGTGCTTCTCTCTCCGGTCGGTGGAGTCGGCAGAGTTCACGATCCGACACGAGAGAGAGAGACCGGAGCTAGCCGGCAGGGACCCGGACTCAGAGTAGGAGCCCTAGCCCCTGGGAGTTGTGCACCCTGCTGTGTAATATTGATAAGCTTTAATAAACCCTGGCGAAAGCCCTTAACTTTCGATTTAAAGCTTTCGTGACTGCAGGGATCCATCTTCTTGGTTCTTTCGGTAAAGTCACGTAGAAGGGAAGCAATAAAATAATAAAAATAAAACATAATAAAATAAAATATTATATTATTTTATAAAATAAAACATAATAAAATAAAATATTATATTATTTTATTTTATTATGTTTTATTTTTATTATTTTATTGCTTCCCTTCTACGTGACTTTACCGAAAGAACCAAGAAGATGGAGCCCTTAACTTACCTCCGTCTCCGAGTGCGTCCGTGGGAGCTTCTCTACACATGGACAGGACATGCTGTAATGCAACCAAAACAACACACGGCTGTACGCACCGCTCACGCCTCTGTACGCGCGGACACGCAGTGGCGTCATCTTTTCACCCCCCCCGCGTGATCGCGCGTAGGATGGGCTGGTGGCGCTGGTGACGGGGGGAGCGTCAGGGCTGGGCCGCGCCACGGCGGAGCGCGTGGTCCGCCAGGGCGGCCGCGCCATCCTCGTGGACCTGCCCTCGTCAGACGGCGCCGCAGTGGCGCGCGAGCTGGGCGACGCCTGCGCCTGGGCGCCGGCCGACGTGGGTACCGCACCGCCGGCAAACTGTGTAGCGCCGGCGTGGCCAAACCGCCATGGACATCGCGGCGACTGATTCTGACACCGTCACCAGCACCGCCACCAGCACCACCACCGCCAGCACCACCACCGCCACCACCAGCACCACCACCGCCAGCACCACCACCAGCACCACCACCGCCAGCACCACCACCAGCACCACCATCACCAGCACCACCACCAGCACCACCACCGCCAGCACCACCGCCAGCACCACCGCCAGCACTGCTACCAGCACTGCCAAGGCCACCGGTCTCACCAACAACACCGCTGCCACCACCAGCAATACCGAGGCCACTCCTGGTGTTGCCAGAGCTATGGATGCCACCGCCGCTGACACCACCGGCACTACCGAGAACCAGCGACACCACTCGCGTCATCGCTCGCCACCAACACCACCACCACCAACACTACCGATACAGAGATTAATTTCACAATATTCAATCAGCCGTTGCGAGAATAAAGTTAGTGAGGCATTAAAATCACCACCACTGCTATTGCCACCACTGCCACCAATGTCTCCAAACAGGGCCATTTGTGTGTGTGCATGTTGGGTGGGGAGCTGTCGTGTAGCGGTTAGCGCGCTGCGCTGTTAAGCCAGCGACTTGAGTTCGATTCCCGCTCACGGCCACCAACACCAGTGACGATTATCTGAACTGGTTCTAGGTCTCCCCTAGGTCGATTCAACCTCAAATGAGTACCCGGTGTGGATGGTGTGTAAAAACCGCAACCGGGGAGACAAAGGCGACCAGAGCGTGGTGCTGACCACCCACGCCCTCATGCGCCGTATCGGCCTTCATAGGTGCTCGCTAACAGCACTTGCCCCAACAGTCTGTTCATGCTATACCGGGGATCTTTGTTGGGTGGGAGCAGGTGACGAGTGAGGAGGAGGTGGGAGCGGCGGTGGCCTTGGCGCGGGAGAAGTTTGGCCGTCTGGACGCGGCCGTGAACTGCGCGGGTATCGCCATCGCCCTCAAGACGTACAACTTCAAGCGCAACACCGCGCACGGGCTCGCTGACTTCCAGAGAGTGCTGCATGTGGGTCACCATCACCTGCACCACCAGCACCATCAGCACCATCACCGGCACCACCAACACCGCTGGCACCGCCATCACCGCCATCATCAGTGGAACCAGCACCGTCAACACCTTCACCAACACTTTCACTACCTTCATCACCGGCAACACCAATGCTACCACCAGCACCATGATCACCAACGATGTTTGGCGATGTTGCTGTTGATGGTTGCGATGCATGCGGGTGACCGTGGTGGTGATGTTTACGGTGACGATAGTTGCGGTGCACAAAGGTAAACGTGGTGGTCTTGACGATGACGACGTTGATGACGACGGTTGCGGTGGGCAATGGTGAACGTGGTGGTGATGTTGACGATGATGACGTTGATGACGACGGTTGCGGTGGGCAATGGTGAACGTGGTGGTGACGATGATGACGATGATGACGTTGATGACGGCGGTTGTGGCGTGTGCAGGTGAATGTGGTGGGCTCGTTCAACGTGATCCGTCTGGCCGCTGGCGAGATCGGGCGTAACGAACCAGACTGCTCGGGACAGCGCGGGGTCATCGTCAACACGGCCAGCGTGGCCGCGTACGACGGGCAGGTGTGACCCACGGGGGTTATGTACATAACAATCCCTGTTCACCGCTAAGGGGCGGTTATGTCACCACAAGGCCGGCACGAGTGGTGATGTTTACACATCGGACCAGGTGCACATATATATTCATGTGTTTTGTGTATATTCATGTTTGTTCATACGTGTGCAAACAGTGCATATTTTATGCATGTGTATGCATATGCTTGTGTGTGGGGAGCGCTAGGGAGCGATGGTGCAGCGGTTAGCGCGCTGCGCTAAGAACCTGGCGACCCAAGTTCGATTCCTGCTCACGGCCAACACCAGTGACGATTATCTGAACCGGTCCTGGGCCTCCCCTAGGTCGACTTAGCCTTAAATGAGTACCTTGTGCGATGTGTAAACATCGCTACTAGGGAGACAAAGGCGGCCGGGCGTGGTATTTTTTTTGGGGGAGCGCTGGTGTAGTGGTTACTGCACTGCACTACACAGCCCAGCGACCAGTTTGATTCCCACTTACGGCCAACACCATGAGCGCCGAATATCTGAACTGGTCTTGGGGCTCCCGGAGGTCAACTGCCTTAAAAAAAGTACCTGGTACTGTGTGTATAAAACATCAGTACTGGGGAGACAAAGGCAGCCGGGCTTGCTGGTGGCCACCCACCCCCTCGTGTGCTGATCCGGCCTTTGTAGGTGCTCGCGAAAAGCACCTACAAAGGCCGTTGTCTATTCCTCTGTATGTGTATCTACCTGCCAGTCATCTCAGTCAACCCATGGCACCTGGGTCTGTCCTGTGACCTGCCAGCGGGCGTTGAACACTTCACGTGACCTTAAAGTGCACACAGCCTGGCATGAGCGCCGTGGTGACGCCACCGCCACTTGGTCGCGAATGGCGTTTTTTGTTGCAGTGTATACATCTGTCTCTGCGTGCATCTGCGTGTTTCTGCGCGTCTTGTCGATATTGTACGATTCACAGGTTGGCCAGGTCGCCTACTCGGCCTCCAAGGGCGCCATCGTGGGCATGACGCTGCCGATAGCGCGCGACCTGGCGCCCCAGGGCATCCGCGTGATGACCATCGCTCCCGGTGAGGCCTCCAGAGCGTGCGCGATCGCATCTAAACACACCCCGGCTCAGAGGAGTTCTAACCTCCACTCCTGCTCGTCCCCGATCCGTACGTCGTCATCATCGGCAGCCGTGGTTTGGGCAACAATGATGTCGCGTAAAAAAAACTGTAATTCGCAGAAACATCACAGGATTAGGTGGGTTACCCCCCGCCCCCCACCCCCCCGCCAAGAAATTCAGCGCGTGACTTACAAAAAGTCACGCGCTGAATATCAGGAAGGAAGTGCCCAATCTGACGTGTCGCCCACAGCCACTTCCAAGATGCCACTTTAAGTCTGAATTCAGATTCACGATTTCCATGGCCACCATGGTCAATCCAATTCCTGGATGAAGGCCTCCTCCCCCAAGCCGTCGCCATCTCTCAACAGTCCTTGCAGTAAACACATTCCTGCGGAGGGAGCTGGTAGGAACGTTGGGTTGCTCGGTCAATGGCCTGCAGGGTCAACGGCGGCGTGGTGTATTCCGCAAATATGCCCGACTGTGAGGGCGGGCACAAGCCGGCGTGAGTAGGTTAAACGTTGAGTTTTATAAGGGCACCACGGAGTGACCAGCCCCTCCCCACCCAGCCCCACCCCTCCCAGCCCCACCCAGCCCCTCCCTCCCCACCCAGCCCCTCCCTGCACGATGGACGGACGGACACAATAATCCCCTGTGGGCTGGTGTAACCAGGAGGTTCCTACCAGTAGGAATCCACCCAGCACGTGCACTTGGACTGAGCTCACTGCTCCATCTCCCCTGCTACGCTTCCTTTTCTGGCTGCCGCTCGGTTGTTATGCTCAAACCACCGGCCATCATCCCTTGCCGTCAGAATCAGAATCTTTATTTATCCTGGAGAAATCTGTGGAGTTATGAAGCCCCCTTTTTCACACGTGTCCAGTTTTCAGTGTGGTGGTTAGCGCGCCGCGCCACGAACCTGGCGACCCGGGTTCGATTCCCGCTCACGGCCAACACCGGTGACGAATATCTGAACCAGTCCTGGGCCTCCCCTAGGTCGACTCGGCCTCGAATAAGTAACTGGTGCGGTGTGTAAACAACGCCACTAGGGAGACAAAGGCGGCCAGGCGTAACGCTGGCCACCCACCCCCTCGTGTGCCGTGCTGGCCCTCATAGGTGCTCGCTAACAGCACTTGCCAAATTCTATCAAGGCTATATGGGGGACCTTTGTTTGTATGTATATCTGTTAATGTGTCTAAACAAGTCTGCGCGCTTGTATATGCGCGTCTGTCCATCCTCCCAGGCTTGTTTGCGACGCCGCTACTCATGACGCTGCCCGAGAAGGTGCGCGAATTCCTGGCGCGCCAGGTGCCTTTCCCCAGCCGCCTGGGTGACCCCTCCGAGTACGCGCAGTTGGTACAGTCCATCTTGGAGAACCCCATGCTTAATGGGGAGGTCATCCGGCTGGACGGCGCCATCCGCATGCAGCCTTGACTCGCGAGGGGAGCGGTGAGGAGCAGGTGAAATCAAAGTGGACTTTCCCAACAACCTTGCCCCACTCCTCCACGCCACCACTTTCGTCCACGCAAAGTGGGTACGGTCCATCGCAGAGTTGCGGGCAATGGGACCGCGTGGCCAATCGCAGCTTTGCAGTCACGTGGGGCTAACCGAGCTAATTCGACGTGACCGCCGCGAAAAGAGGCTTCCGTTACGTCGCGTCCGATTGGTTCGACGGGCACCGTGCGATCGCTCCGCTGGGCGTGCGTTTGGCCACCTACCGCGCTGTGTGCCGCGGAGATATTTTCATGGTTGCAGTGTCGTAGAAAGTTTGGAACGATTTGGCGGGATTGGCCGGGGGGGGGGGGGGGAGAAAAAAATAGTTAACTCTGGACAGATTTTCTGGGTTACAGATGAAACCTTACTTACAAAACAATAACGATGAAATATCTCGAACGACGCTTTTGATTCATGAAACATGTGTGCGCGTCGCACATTTAAATGATTCCGAGCTTCTCACTCGTCGAGGGTCAGCGACTCTGTGGCTCTTGGCGACCCCGAAACACGTCGGCAAGTAAACCAATCGACAATAGAGACGTGACGGTAATTGTTTTCATAGTATTATTTACATAATTGCATTGTTTTATCCGGATCATTCATCCTCTCCCCCACCTCAGCCATACCCCGGATTATTGAGAGGTTGACTCTCGCCCTACCTACCTGTAATTTCAGCCACATTTGTACCAGGCAACAACCTCGTACGTCCAACATTTCGCTTGCTTTTGCGTGTAATTTCACGATTAATGTGCAACTGTGAACTGCTTAGGGATTTGCTCGTAATTGTCACGGGTTACTTTCGTTTCGCAAAATCGCCTTTACACACCCTTGCAAAGGCTTCATTAAATCGTCGATTCTCGCTTGAAAAGTTACGAACATTCTAGTGCCTCGGGGTGTCACTGAAAAAATATGAATTAAAATTTTGGAGTTCATATCCCATCGAATTGTCAGATGCAGTTGTTTTTAGGCAGAGAAAGGGAATCGGGTCTTGAGTTTCAACTTGAACAGGGCAGAGAGAGTACGTGTGAAGTCTTGAGTATTTGTGCGAGTCCGTGTGTCTCGGCGAATTGCATAAATGTATGAGTGTGTGTGAATCTATGGGTATCAATTCTGTGGGGCCTATTTTCGTTGGAGTCTATGTGTCTCTGTGAATTATCGTATGAGTCTACGGGTCTCTGCGTGAGTTGCTCAGCAACCGCACCTCAACAACAAGAACGGTCATCCTTGCACCAATTGTTGCCTCCCGGCGGTTTGGTTCTGAGTGGTGCCTCCCATCTGACTGGCCACCATCGATGTTATAAATTCAGTTGGTTGCCGAGTTCCCATTTAGTTTCCATCCACAAAGTACGCTTCTCAGCACCAATCGCCGAGTTAAAAAAAAAAACGACATCAGTTGCCTTGCAGAGTGCATTTCACAAGAAATCACACACGGTGCGTTCCGTAAACACAACGAACGAACGCTTACCTTGGGGATAAGAGGACGTTCCGAGGCTAAGCCCAATTTGGGGGAGAGGTCACGACCCCGAGGTTGGAAACTACTGGAGATATCGTCCGTGTGTCAGTCCGTCCGTCCAACGATTCTGACTTTGCCTTTCCCCCGTGAACGTCGCTACATCCATTGGCCGTGGTTCACTTCGCGCCAAGCGTTTCGCGTTCACGAATGATTTGTAAAGAATTCTTACGGATTAATAAAGCGATAAAATACTTGACGTGAAATATTCGCAAAGTTGTCTCTTCCTGGGTGGTTATTTGTGGATTAGTAATTTACTCAAGATTTCGTCTGTGTGTTCGGCTTTGATAGGGATGCCGACGATGACAGTGGTTCTAAAAATGACGAGAAATCAAGATGGACGCACAACTAAACGCACCTATATACACAATGGCACGAAGTGACGGTGACGTCACCACTGCTGCGCTCGTGCCAGGCACGGTGCACTTGGAGGCCGAGCGAAGTACTGAACGGCTCCCTGCCAGCGGGTTACGGGACCGAGCCGGACTTTACGGGTTAACTGACCGAGATGATTGGCAAATGCTCCCCGCTGCTGGCAAAATGAAGGCTTCCCCCCCCCACTCCCCAATCCACCACCATGCCCCTTTCGATGTCACGATGCCTCGCTCCTCACGCCAGATGCTCGTTACCGCTCCATCTCCTCTCACAGTAAGGGTACAGCGATTCCCTCGTTTAACACGGCAAATGCGTTCCTGGAAAGTGCCGCATTAAGCGAGGAATTGCCGAGTCGCTGAATCACGTTTGCGCTGTTAATTCAGCCCCATGTCGGGACAGAAAACTGAGATGAGGGTACGCCACCACCACCATACCCTCATCATTCCGCGGACTGTATCGTACCGCTCAGCCACGCAACTCCAGAAATTCGTTGTCGACTGCTCAGAAAGCGCACTTACAATGGGAGCGTCCCACGTTATAACGGACTCTTTCTGCGCTGTGCGAAGTGTTCCCTTATGGAAGAACCAACCTCGTCACAGCGACAACGTGTAAGAGTGTGAACACGTGATAGGCGAGGACTTACCGTACACAACCAAACGCAAATATTTTCGGGGACGCGGGCAAACACCGACCCCGTGGACCCTCGTTTCTGACGGTTGTGTTTATTTAAATATCACACTTTGCATTTTGATTATCCCTGAAAAATCAAGTACGATATTAAAACGGGTCAGTCACAACCAAAAGAGTCCACGTTAAGCAGACGTTGGTCCTTGCCAAATATACAAATGTCAGTAATAAAATAATGGTACCTGAAGCTCTGTATCAAACTTTGTAACTGTTATACAACCTGTTCTGTATCCTCGAACACGATGCCACATCATCATCAGCAGCAGCAGCAGCAGCCTGAGCTATCCGCTACTGGATAACGTCCTTCCCAGCACCGCATTGGTCATGGGGCTTGCTTGACCATGCTTCACCACGCTAGTCAGTGCGGGTGAGTGAAGGGCGAGGCGCCCGGCATCTCACCACTGATATCAGTCGCAGGCAGGAATTGAACTCGGGGCTGCTGGTTTCCTAGTGCAGTGCAGTGACCACTGTGCTATGCCGTACGAATACAGCCACAGAGCCCTCTACTCGTCACAGTGTCAACGCGTCCTTCCAATAGGCCCAATGACAAATATCCGTGAATTGCGTTTACATTTCGAGATGCGCACAGTGCAGTTCACGAACGCGGAATAGCAACAGCAGCAACGAAAACCTTGACACACTTTATATTGATAAGCGGAAGTCAAGAAAATATTCCGGATATAAATTATCCCCAAGTATCTTTTTTTATATCGGCGCTTCATAATTAACATTAAGCGGTAACAAAATATTACATGTACATATTTTTGTTATGGGCGCAGACACCCTGACAGCATTCCACCAGCAGTGGATACAAAACGTTTTTATTAACAGATGGCGGCCCTTCCACAGGGCGTTCATGGAATGTGCGGTGGTGGTGATGGTGGTGATGATGATGATGATGGTGGTGATGGTGGTGGTGGTGGTGATGATGGTGGTGGTGGTGATGATGGTGGTGATGGTGATGATGGTGGTGATGGTGGTGGTGGTGGTGATGATGGTGGTGGTGGTGATGATGGTGGTGGTGGTGATGATGGTGGTGGTGGTGGTGATGATGGCGATGGTGGTGATGATGATGATGGTGGTGGTGATGGTAGTGGTGATGATGGTGGTGGTGGTGACGATGATGGTGGTGGTGGTGATGATGGTGATGGTGGTGATGATGGTGATGATGATGGTGATGATGATGGTGGTGGTGATGATGATGGTGGTGGGGACGATGATGGTGGTGGTGAGTGGAATCTATCAGGTCGCCCTCTGCCCTGGTTTTTCTCAGGATCGTCATCTTGTGCAGGAGGTAGCTGTTTGTCCTGGGAAATCTGTCAATCTTCCGAGGACATTGAAAATCGCCGTGGTTTTTTAGTGAGTTTGAGTCGTGATGAAGTTAAGAAAATACACCCCTCAAGGCAATGCATTCGCATGCAGTGCTCTCGCCATTTTGGTAATGACATTCGCGTTCGCTTCACGTAACGGACTCGACGTGTACCTAGCCCGGCACAACCACCGTGTCGACATCACTGACACTTGGTGGCAAATGTCAGCTGTTGTTGATGGCGAGTGGTTATGACAGTGATGGTGGTGATGGTGAGGAGGGTTACGTCCCATGTGGATGATGATGAGAGGAATGCCCCCACCACCCGCCAGAGGTCGCAACCGGGTACCCGATACCCGTACCCTACCCGATACCCGTACCTGGCCGGGTACGGGTACGGGTAGCCATTTGCGACCCTGGTGCGGCCGGGTACGGGTAAGGAATCAAAACCCGTTTGCCACCTCTGCCACCAGCCCATATGATCCGATTGTTTGATTCAAGTCACGATTCGTTCAATGTGCCGACTTCTCTTTTAAACAGTGGAGTTATAGCGCCTCTCGTGTCTGCATTAGAGGCACTACTTTACTCACATGCACGCGATCAGATGCGTTGCGTCTTCAGTTTAAGCATAACAATTCTTAAGTGAATTACGATGCCCCTGATGGTGGTATCATCCATGGCGATTTTAGTTTTGTAGAAACCACGCTAACAATGACAGTGAAGGTGATGACGGTGATAACGATCCTGCCGACAATGGTGACGATGACGATGGCATCATCGTGCTGGGTGATGACGTTGATGATGATTCTGCTCATCATGATGGCGGATCAGCTGATTCTGCCACTGACGATTGATGACGTTGATTCCTTCATCACGACCATCCACTCGGCGTGGGCCAACAATGACATTTCTGCCCGTGATGCCGATGTTGAGGATGCTGCTGCTACTGCTGCTGAGACGATGGCACCGATGTCAGGGGTGACATCATGCCCACCATCAGCCTCCGTTATCTCTCCCCCTGCTAGGTGTGCCAACGATGATGATGATGTTCATCACAATCATAGTAATAATGATGATGATACTAACAATGACTTCCAAAAATAAAGATGCCGATGATGATATAGACAATGACAAAGTCGGCGACATCACACCCTCGCTTTCCATTAATATTGTCAACTGGGCAGGCCAACGATGAAGATGACGATGGTGGAGCTGCTCATGTTAATGGTGACATCATTACCACCCTCTCTTCACTTCTTCAGCTACCCAACTACGATGATAAAGTCACAATGCCAATAATAAAACTGCTGATGGCAAATCATTCTGACGAGTACAACGCCAGTGTAACATAGGCCGGGGGTTCACACCCGGAGCGATCAGCTTCTCGAATCAGATCAGCAACTGCTCGAAACATCGCAACGTTAAATTGCCCGCGACTGCTTTGTCCACTTCTGAGCAATGAGTTGCTCAGAAGTGGACAAGGATGTGTGTGTAGGTGTGGCTACACAGTATGGCCATGCCCCTCACAGCAGAGCCCTGCCCCTTGTCTGGTGACCCCCCCCTCCCTCCCACCCGACCTGGTCAGGATCGTTAAAGTTATGAATTGGTAACGCTCTGCACAGTTGCCTTAGATTCCGAGGCACGGGAAATCCGAGTGGGAAGGCTCCACGAGTGGGTGATTGTGCGTGGAGAAGGCCATCTCCACTGTGAGCAACCCGATGAGAAACCTCGCAACTGGCAACAGAGACACAATTCCGTTGCGCGCAGCCAAGTTGCGTGCAACCGATTGCGCAGGCGCCGAGGACGCGGCTTAGCACCGACCTTCCGCGACTTCCTCTGCCAGGCGTGCCGACGACGATGACGATGATGACGACGATGTCAACAGTCGTGAAGTATTATGACATTACCAATGTCAAATATTAAGGTGCTCATCGCGCTCATAATTCTAACCCTGACGACGACGACGACGACTTAACTAACACCGCCGCCCCCCCCTGATCACTTCTTCTGCTGACCGTGTCGCCCCGCGCGGTTGACGGCCGATGCGGCGGCGGCCGGAACGTGTTGAGGCCGGGAGATACGGCGGCGGGGCTGTGGCCGGCGCCTTCGGCCGCCGCGGGCGACGGGGGTAGGGTGTCCTGCACCACGTCCGGCACGGCGAGCGCCGGCGGGAGGACCTGAGCGGAGCGCGGCGTCACCCATCGCTGGCGGTGGAGCGCGGCGTTGGAGGCGGAGGAGCCGGCGTGCGGACGGAAAATCCCGCTTGTCCTAACGGGGGAGGAGGAGGACGGGCAAATTGACAATGGGTTTCACGAGAGTGGTGGCTGTTGATTATTTTGGGAATGGTGCCCCCCCCCCTCGCCCTGCCCCCCCCCCCGCCCCGGCCCCCACCCCGCCGTGGCCTGCTCCGACACCTCCCCCAAATTAAAAACTACTAAAAAAATAAACTTTTTTATTTTACCAGGTAGGGCACACTGAGCAATATAGCTCCGTTTCAGAAGCGACCTGGCCACAAATGATAGCTCACGAAGTGGCTTGTCGCGTGGAAACAACCAATTATCACAATATAGTTCTTCAGGAATTAGTGGTTTGCATAACGCTGAAGGCTGAGAGAGCTGTGCCCATTTCTGTGGGTTGTTGAAACAATCAATACAACTGCAAGTGGACACATCTTCATAGGTTTTTTTGCACTTTTCTGGCCACAAATGATAGCTCAACGAAGTGGCTTATCGCGTGGAAACATATTCTTAAAAACGCGTGTTGTTGATTCTAAATGTGGAGGGACCCAGAGAAAATCGCACGCGACCACGGGGAGACAGAGACCATGCAAGCTCGAAATATCACGGTTGGGATCAAACGACCTGCATACAAGCGGCACCCAATTAAGACCCGTGGTCTGTGACCACCCCACCCCCCACCCCTCCTAGATTCAGAAACTGAATTTTACGTCGTGCGATCGAATCCAGATAAGACACGGATTCGATTCCAGGATTTCAGCATCCTGGTAACATGGAGATGAGTACACCCACAGAGATACGTCAACACACACCACATTCAGATTAGCCAGTCATTCTTTCCATCGTTTTCAATAATCCGAATCTCTGACCACGACTCCACTCACTTTGGCGTCAGGGTTGGCCACTGCCGGCTGCCCCGAAGTGACGGAACGGACTCCTCCGCCCGGCGACTTGGACTCCGGCTGGACCTCAGCATTACCGAATCCGGACTTGCCCTTCCGAATCTCCGGACTGCTTTTATTCCAGTCCGGGGAAGAAGAGGCGCTGTGTTTATTATCATCCCTGTAAAAAAAAAAAAAAACCCACATTACTTTCACGGTCATCACAATTAGCAGGTAGTCGCTATGTCGTTCCGTGGCCAAGCCGTGGCAAGCTGCGGCGGGTTAGTTCGATGGTATCCGGCTGCGGCGAGTAAATTGCATGGCAGGCAGGCAGGCGGCGGCGACCACACGGCACGCAGGAAAGCGAGCGATGGAATTCCGCGTCGGGGGGCGTGCCAAGCCACGGCAGGCTCCGGGCGGGCACGCCGGGTGGGTGCCGGGTTGCGGGCGGCGACCCCCGCACACCCCACCGCGAGCCGTGGACGCTTGCCGGGCTCACCACGGCTCGACGTGGCCGGGGAGCTGCAGGTAGTCGTGCGGTACGGCGCCGATGCGGTCGCCCGAGCGCGCCTCCCACCAGTCGACGGAGGTGCGACGGAGCAGCTCCAGCTTGTCGCCCACGCGAAACCCGAGCTCCCGCTCGGAGCGAGCGGCGTAGTCGTAGCGAGCCACCGCCACGCACGGGCACGGGTCTAGAGAGAGGGGAGAACGTACGCAGCACGTACTCACGTGGGCGAGAGTGCGGGCACACGGACACATGTACACGTGTGCACACATGCACAGGTGGGCGAGTATTTACACTATGAGACATCTCCTTTACCAGTGGCAAAATATAGTAATAGGTTTTTACTCTTTCAACTGGTACAAAAACTGACACCTTTATACAAGGCATCATGTTTGCAATAACCACAACACAAGCAGTCAAAATGCAAACAAAAAGAAGCAACTCTGATGATGATAATGATATGCACTGTCCTTGAAGTTGATTGGTCGTACGCCTTTTGGCGTCATCTGGTCCAACACCAATGGAGACTAGGCTCTAAGAAAAGCTGTCTCGGGTGTGGACCAATCAACTTCAAGGACAGTGCATATCATCATCATCAGAGTTGTTTCTTTTTGTTTGCATTTTGACTGCTTGTGTTGTGGTTATTGCAAACATGATGCCTTGTATAAAGGCGTCAGTTTTTGTACCAGTTGAAAGGGTAAAAACCTGTTACTACAGGTGGGCGAGTGTTACGTTTGAGTTACAAATGCACACACATGCACAGACCACACATGCATATGCGTGTGTCCACAGTCAGCAAACGTGTGGTAATAATGAAGATGAGTTGAAGGGGTGAAAAGGTGAGGTGGCAAGGGAAGGAGGTGACGGGGGCGATGAGGTGACGACTGACGCTCACCATCGTCTACGGAGATCTCCTCTTGCGACGTCCCGTCGTCGCAACGTAAACCCTCAGCCGACGAGGAGTCACTGTCGCACATCGACACAAAGTCATCGTCATTGCGTCATCACTGCTGTAGGCAAGTGCATCGCCAACAAGCGCTACCCTCGCCACCACCAAAGACAAACATCCCTGGTATAGCCTCAACAGAATGTCGGGGCAAGTGCTGTTTGCGAGCGCCTATGAAGGCCGGCACGGCACACGAGGGGGTGGGTGGCCAGCACCACGCCCGGTCACGTTTGTCTCTCCAGTGGCGATGTTTACACACCGCACCAGGTACTCATTTTAGGCCGAGTCGACCTAGGGGAGGCCCATGTCCAGTTCAGATAATTATCACTGGTGTTGGCCGTGAGCGGGAATCGAACTCAGGTCGCCAGGTTCGTAGCGCAGCGCGCTAACAGCTACACGCCGCTCTCCAACTGCTCCAACCACCACCAGCACCACCGCCGCTCCCCAACCACCACCACCACCGCCCATCCACCACCGCCCACCACCACCGCCCACCACCACCGCCCACCACCACCCGCCGCCGCCCACCACCACCACCGCCCACCACCACCACCGCCCACCACCACAACCGCCCACCACCACCACCGCCCACACTGCCGCCCCACCACCACCTCCACCCACCACTACCGCCCACCACCACCACCGCCCACCACCACCACCGCCCACCACCACCACGCCCACAGCCGCCCACCACCGCCGCCCACCCTACCACGCCACCCCACCACCGCCGCCCACCACCACCGCCGCAACCACCACCGCAACCACCGCCGCCGTTCTCCGCACACCATCCTCGTCGTCCGCCTACCCCTCGTCTGTCGGGCGCCAGGACGGGCCGGTAGATGGGGCCCGGGAGCTCTCGCGGTGACGGGGAAGAGCGAGTGGGCTCCACCAGGATGCGCTTCACCAGCTCGATGGGCCGCCCTGGCAATACCTGGTCGGAACTCGGGTGGCACGGGTGCCAGCGTTGGCCCAAGCACACCGCCAGATTGTAGCTGGTCCATCATGTTCTCATCGCGGAAGCCCGACAGGCTGTAGGGCGAGACACGGGGAGGGAGACACGCGGGGAGAGAAGGGCAAGGGAGGAGACACGGGGAGGGAGACGCGGGGAGGGAGACGCGGGGAGGGAGACGCGGGGAGGGAGACGCGGGGAGGGAGACGCGGGGAGGGAGACGCGGGGAGGGAGACGCGGGGAGGGAGACGCGGGGAGGGAGACGCGGGGAGGGAGACACGGGGAGGGAGGAGACACGGGGAGGGAGGGAGACATGGGAGAAGTGGGAGACATCGGGAGGGATGAGAGATATGAGCAGCACGCTGCCAGGTTGTAGTCATTCACATTAGATGTTTTTGTATTGATATAAAAATAGAAACGTATTGTAGTTTTCCTATCAAAGTGTCAAGTGCTCCCCTGCGCCAGTCTGGCTCAACTGTAAACATTTCATAACCGCTTATGTTTAAACATTGCACACAGCTCATTGTAAAAGTTGCAACATTCCAACTGATCTATTAAGTCACCTGTCAGAATCAATTGACGAGTGTTTTTTTTTACGTTCTATTAGCCTCCTGTCATGGGAATGTGGAATATCCAGTTCAATCAGGTCAGGCCACCAACAGAGAAGAGGACTTAAAACAACGTTCGCTTGAGGATGGAGACACTGTTCCATCCGACTGGAATAACAAAAAAAAAGTCACCCAGAATCAGAATATTTATTCTTACTGGATGAATCCAATTAGCTATAAAGCTCTTTTTCAGGATTCTGCATCTGTTTCCCAACACGCGTGTTTGTCCTCCGAAGTGTTTCATCGTTGAAATTACGTCAACGTGGAGATGGAGCGATGAAATCCAGGTGCCCTAGATGGATTGTTCCCACACTGGGCCCGCACAAGGGATTAACAAAGGCTCGGAAAGGTCTGATCCAGCGGTGATAGAACATGGATGATGATGATGATGATGACGATCACGATAACGTTGAGGAGGCGAGACAGTGGAGGACGATAATGACCATGATGATATGATTTAAAGCTTTCGTGACTGCAGGGATTCAAATTCTTGGTTCTTTCGGTAAAGTCACATAGAAGGGAAATAATAAAAATATTAAATGATAAATTCTCACGACGTTTCGACTGCAACACAAGCAATCATCATCAGGTGTGAAATCCACAGCAAGAAAAAAAATTCACATTTTATTTTCACATTTTCTTGCTGTGGATTTCACACCTGATGATGATGATTGCTTGTGTTGCAGTCGAAACGTCGTGAGCATTTTATTCTTTTATATGTCTATTATTTCCCTTCTACGTGACTTTACCGACAGAACCAAGAATATAGACCATGATGATATTCAGGAGGTAGCTATAACTGGCATCTTTTGATAACGTGAAGAGGTAACGGAAGACAACAATGATGGCGATGATGATGAGGATGATGATGAGGATGATGATGCTGATGAGGTGATGACTGTGGCCGTAACTCACTGGTTGAGGAAAGTGAAGAGGTAGCGGAGGACGACGATGACGGGACCAGGGAGCTTGCGGATGAGGTCCCGGAGGTGAGCGATCCTCTTATGATACTCAGAGATTTCTGGGTAACGAACGCAATCACTGTTAGCGAGCGCCTATTACCATCGGCATGCTACACAGGTATGTAGGTGTGTGTGTTAGTGTGTCTGTGTTATTGTGGCACAGTAGGGGGTACAGGTGGTGCATCGGCCAGTCATCTCAGTCATTGGACCCATGGCATCTGGGTGTGTCCCGTGACCTGCCAGCGGGCGTTCGACACTTGACGTGGCCTTAACGTGCACATGGCCTGGCACAAGCGCCGTGGTGACGTCACCGCCACTTAGTGGCGAATGGCGGTTGTTGTTATTGTGTTGGCATAGTCGGGGTCACATGTGGTGCGTGGGCCAGTAATCTCAGTCAGTGAACCCATTTCACCTGGGTCTGTCCCATGACCTCCTGCCAGCGGGGATTCTACATTTCACGAGGCCTTAACGTGCACATAGCCTGGCACAAGCGTCGTGGTGGCATCACCGCCACTTATTGGGAAATGTTGTTATTGTGTTGGCATAGTCGGTTGTTGTAGCGTAGCGCTTCACGCGGCGATCCGAGTTCGGTTCCCGCTGACGGCCACCACCAGTGGCGATTGTTTCAACCGGTCCTGTGCCTCCTCTAGGTCGACTCAGACTCAAATGAGTAGCAAGGTGCGGTGTGTAAACATCGCCATGAGGGAGACAAAGGTGGCCGGGTGTGGTGCTGGCCACCCACCGCCTCGTGTGCCGTGTCGGCCTTCGTAGGTGCTCGTTAAAACAGCACTTGCCCCAACAGTCTGTTGAGGCTACATGAGGAATATCTGTCTCTGTTAAGACAACGACCCTCATGTAGCCTACACATGCTGTTGGGGCAAGGTTCAAACGTCACTCGCCACTGACTCGCACAGATTGTGGCCGAAAATCAAACCCAGGTCACCGCATTCGTCGAGCAGCGCATTCACAACCGCTATGCCACCACTCCACACAGAACCACTTCGGAACCTCCCCTAGGTCGGCTCAGCCTGAAACGAGTACCGGTGCGGTGTGTGGGATGACACAGGCGGCCGGGCGTAGTGCTGGCGCCGTGCCGACCTTCACGTGTGCTTGATAACGGCACTTGCCACGATGGTTAAACGCTATACGGGGGATATTTTAATCTTAATTTTGGAGCTTTCGTGACTGCAGGAATTACTCTTTGCTTTTTTCGGTAAAGTCACGTATAAAGATAAAATAATAAAATAAATAATAGCATACGACGTTTCGATTGCAACACAAGCAATCATCATCAGGTATAATGAAATAGCGACATAGAATCTAACCAGAAAACTATAGACAGACATATAAGCAGACAGATATCACCAAGATACACAGAGAGAGCAACCAGGTACAGAGAGGGGTGATCGTCTCTGTGGGTGGCCTTAAATAGACAGAGGGGGGCGAAGGCAGAGAGAGGGAGGGGGTAGGGAAAAAATGTACATGTCAATGAGTACGAAGGGACGCGTAGTAAAGTACGCAGGCTTAGAGGGAGACAGAACACACTAAATTAAATAACCTAGCAAAGTATCGAAATGTTATGTAGAACGACACATTTGTCTCCGTGTGTGCGCGTGTCTTACTGATGCAATCCAGGAAGTCTTGGTACATGTGCGAGGGGAAGAGAGGCTTCTCCAAGCCCCGGAAGTAGGCCTTGAGCACGCCAGCCACGCTGTCTATCGTCCGCCCGTCATCGTCGTCATCCAACGGGTCCTCACCTGGTGAGCGGAATCAGCCACGAAACCACCATCAGCATCTTCTTGGTTCTTTCGGTAAAGTGACGTAGAATGGAAATAATAAAATAATAAAAATAAAACGTAATAAAATAATTCTGTCGACAGACTTGTTTCTCCACCTGAGGACGGCTGCTTGCGTTGTGGCCGAAGCGCCGTGAGAATTATTTTATTGTGTTTTATTATTTTATTATTTCCATTCTACGCGACTTCACCGAAAGAGCCAAGAAGATGAATCCCTGCAGTCACGAAAGAAGCTTTAAATCACCATAAGCATGTGTGACATACGACGTCAAGCCCCCCCCCCCCCCCTGATAACCGGGATCAACCACGATGACCAGAATAAACCACGAAACCACCAGCAACATGTGATAACCGGAATCAACCCAAATAACCGACATCGAACGTGAAACCCACCATCAACACGTGATATGTAACGTCAACCCCGATAACCGACATAAAATTATGAAGCCACCATCATCAGCATGCGTGGAACGCCATCAGCCCCGATTCCGGCCATCCACGGCAATGACCGACATTTCCTCAATCCTATCAACCACCAGCCCCGGATAACCGCCACCAACCCCAAATTAACCGAAATCAACCCCCAATGATCGCCATCCCACAATCCCTCCTCCCACCATCCACGACGTCGATCGACCCCGATATCCGGATGGTGGCGCTGCATGTCGCACCTCTCTCGAACGCCGATTTGATTTCGGTCATCTGCGTCAGCGATCCCGATATGCGGAAAATTCCCTCGTGGTGGAGCCCTGAGGTGTCAGAATAGTGAGCGTTAGAACGAGCGTGCGAGCTCTCGCACAACCATCACGTCACCGCTACACCACTCACACCGCGACTACACCACTCACACCGCCGTTACACCATCGTGATAACACTCACCCCACCGCTACACCACTCACACCACCGTTACACCATCGTGATAACACTCACTCCACCGCTACACCACTCACACCACCGTTACACATCGTGATAACACTCACACCGCAACTACACCACTCACACCACCGTTACACCATTGTGATGACACTCACTCCACCGCTACACCACTCACACCGCGACTACACCACTCACACTGCCGTTACACCATCGTGATAACACTCACCCCACCGCTACACCACTCACACCACCGTTACAGCAATCACACCACCGTTACACCATCGTGATGACACACTCCACCGTTACAGCACTCGCACCACCATTACACCATCTTAATACCACCATCCACCTTAACAACAGCACACCACCTGACACCATCCACCACCACCGTTA